TCCACCAGCAAGGGTACGGGGTCCCCGCCGAGGTGAGAGAGCGCAGGGACGCACAGCCGGCAGGATTGTGGCCCCACGGCTGCTGGCGGGGACAGGCACCCTCCCCTCCCATCTGCTGAGGGCAGTGGGCAGGCTGGTGCCGCCTTTTGAAAAGAAACTGCTGCAGCACAAATAACTGGAGAAGCATGAAGCAGCTGGCCTGGGGACATCGTGCCGCTCCGCTTAATCCCCGAGCGCTGAGGGGGCTCAGAAAACATTGTCTGGGGACGGAGGCGGCGGTGGGGCTCTCCTGGGAAAGCAGAGGCACAATGAATCAGCCGTGTGCTTGCTCGAGTGGTGGCAAACAGCAGCGCAGCGGGTGGCAGCCCCTCTCCCGAGCCTCCTGGAGCATTCCCTGGCCTTGCGAGAGAGAGGTCACGGCGTGCAAGCAGTCCCTGCCAGCTCCCACACCGCGCTGCCACAACCGCCAACTTAACGCCACCCCAACACCACCACGCCTTCATTTTTTTAAGTGAAAAACACACCATAGTTGCTCTCTGCGCCCCACATTGCAGCTGGCCCTTCAGTGTCCGGTCCCCTTCCCTCGGGGATGAGTGGGAAGCGCCCAGGGGATGGCATCCAAGCAGCTCAGTAGGCAGGCAGCACAAAGCCCCAGGAGCTCGTCTGTCTGATGAAATCATCTCGCAGTGTGAAGATCCTCATAGCTGAAACTGAAAAGTTATTTATTTCTCCTCTAAAGGGGAAAAACAGCTTGCTGTGGGGGCTGTTTGTCCTTTGGGGCAGGAATCTCACTTTTGCCAGGTTTCGTGTCTCTGAGCGCTGGCTGGGAGCAGGGAGATGCTCTGGCAGCAGGGTGGGTGGAGGAGTGATGATGCCCTCCTGCCCACAGCCTCCCTCTGCTGGGGCAGGTACACCAAGAGGCAGAGGCTGGGCAGCAGCTCGAGGTCTTTGTCTCCATGGGACATGTTTTCCTGATGGTCACGGCAGTGCTGCTAAAAGCAGCTCTTTCTCTGCTGCAGCCAGTCAGTGGTGCAGAGGCTGCTTCTCCACCCTAATCCCTTGAGGCACCGAACCATCTTGAGAGGAGCCAAAGCCGAGGTGTCCTGCACCCTTCGTGACAGCCCTGGGGACAGCAGTCTTTGTTGCCCAAAGGGACAGTGAAGCTTGTACGTGTCCTCCAGGTGACTCAAAGGGACATTGCAGCCTCCAAGGTCCTTCCCCCTCCTAAGCATCAGTGTGTCACGCTGGGCAGGCGCTGCTGGGCTCTGCAGCTCACCAAGGGACTTTTCCATGGGAACGCTCACCCTGCTCACTCTGGGACATAAGACCAATATAAAATCACCCAGGGAATGGTTCTACCTCTGTTCTCACTCTGTCCTGCCCTTTCACTTATTGAGGGTGGACTATTTCCAAGCACTACCAGCATGGCCTAAACCTTCCACCCGCCGTGGTCTGCAAAAGGCACAGCACTGACTTGGGCCAGTGCTTGGTGCTTTGCAGCATTTCAAAACGGACATTTTAAAGGTTTCTGTGAATGTTAAACCAGCTGCTCTGCCAGAAGAAAGTAATCTCAGAGCAGGTGAGGGCTGAAGAAGCTGCCCAGGGTCAGTCTTTGCTCCACGCCAGCAGAACTGCTCTCCTGATCCTCAGGGACTCATTTGGAAACTTGGCTTGGCGTAGACATGACTCAGAGCGAGCTGATACTGCACAGGTCGATTTTGCAAGTTCTGGGGAACTGGGAGTCTGGGAAATACTGCAAGAAACCCTTGTGGGTGATACACACATATTTCTTATCCCACTTTGATGTTACCTGCTTGCTTAGACCCTGTACTAGGCAATTCACCCGCTTTGTGATGGACAGGATGGGGGTCTTGCTTCAGGACCGGGCTCCTACACGCCAGAATAATAAAAAATAGCATTCGGTAGCAACAATGCATCTGTTCAGAAATGCGGGTGCTGGGGTATCACTGTCAGGCTTCAAAATGGAAAGGAATGGCTCATCCCATGGCCAAAAGCAGCGGCGTGCCGATAGGGCTGAGTTTCCACTAGAGGGTTGTAGTGCTGTAGGGAATCGGAGGCGGTTGCTGTGGCAGGAATGCTGTGCTACTCCAGGCCTTTGTCAGCAGATCAAAAGCATCCTGTGATAGCCTGGCTTCCAGCAGTCTCTGCAGTCTCTGATGTACACAGCCTGCGAGCTGTGAGAGGGCTGGTGCCTGAGCAACCCGCTTCCCTGCCTTCCCTGAAAAGCCTCTGGCATTCACATGACTCAGCACCTACTACACATACATATACACACATAAAAATATACATATGTATGTACAGATATAGTAAGCAAACACACCATGTCTGTGCTATACACACACAGACGATATGTTCATTTGTGTATGTGGGATTTGGATGCAGGAACAGCCACGTGGTGTGGTGGTGGCATGCCATCGTGAGGAGCTGGGGCACCTGGAGCCCCAAAACCCGGCAGCACAGTGAAGGGCGCAATTAGCAGCATCGTTGCAATCAGCAGGATGGGAAATTGAGAGCTGTTTGCGTATAACGTTCTGGCTCCAGGCCAGAAGCTGCTGTGCACTGCACCAAGCATGGGTGCTGGTACCTGGTGCTTGCAAGCCAGCCTTGAATGGGAGCCACTTCTGCCACCAGTCGTGTCCCTGCATCCATTGCAGCTCAGTAAGTGCTAGTGAATTCACGTGTATGTGACCCCAGTATGCACCCACATATCTTTTACAGTAGTGTATGCATTTTTGCGTGTGGATCTATAGAATCATAGAGGGGTTTGTGTTGGAAGGGACCTTTAAAGGCCATTCAGCCCACCCCAACCCCTGCAATGAGCCTATGTTTGTGCAACTTCCTGAGCAGCTGGTGTGCAACGTGCCGGCAACTGTACTGCACAGATCAGGGTGGTTTTACTGCCGAAAATAAAAACTGGAGTTGTCTAACACAGTGAGGAAAGCCCAAATAGCACTGACGTTGCCTTCTTTTCATAGAAAGAGTGGGAAGGCAAATGCAACCACAAGGCTTGCCTGTATCATGGAAAACACAATGTGACGTTCGCAGAGAATTTACATAGTGATCGATTTATGTACCACCTGTTTGTCTGATACTATCACCATTTCCATTTATAGATAGAGGGAAAATAGATTTTGCCTACATTTTCATTGCTTTTATTATCAGAGAGGCTTTGAGGAAGTAAGTAGGAGATATTCTTGCAAAATAAATGATTACAGCAAAAGATGGGCTTTAGCTCCCTCATAAGATCACCTGATCTTACCTAAATACAGCTACGTAGAAACCAATCATCAAGTCAACAGAGAGGCCTGAGAATGATGGCATAGATTAGCTGACCCAAAATAGACATTTGAATCCTCTGCCTTTATAGCTGACTGGTGGAGAGCCTCTTCTCATGCTAGCAGGAGACATCAGAAGGAGCTCAAGTGAGCTGTTTCTTACTATAGAGGACAAAAAGGCACCAGGGGAGACTCATGCAGCTGGGGAAACCTGTAAGGTGGACACAAAGGGTTGGGAGACCCACCTCCCACCACCTCCCACAGAAGATGGTCTTCATAAACAAGTCTCAGACCTCAGGGAGACCAGACTGGCTGGAGAGCAGGGACTGTGGTCCTGGTGAAGTGTCTCTTCCTCTGAACTGAGTCATGATGGTGGCAGCATGAGTCTTTGCTCCAGAACACAGGGGTTACCACTCTCCTCCTGAGGTGCTGCCATCCCTTGGTGGACTGAACCCCACAGGGCAGAGGGATGGTAGGTCACCACCAAGGACGGGTGGCTGCTGTTGAGCTACTGAGAGAGGGTGGCAGAGAAGCATGGTGTGAAGCAGGGTTTGGAACGTGTTACAGTGGTTTAAGAAGGAGGGGGGGGAAGGAACCTAAGTGCTGTCTGTGCCTGGGAAAAAGGTGTCTCAGCAGCTATAGGTTAGGAGGTTAGATTGTATTTTTTTGAATTGCCTATTCTAACCAGTAAGAACATTTATTAGCCAATCATCATGCATTAAATCACAGAATCACAGAATCATATGGGGTTGGAAGGGACCTCTGGAGATCATCTAGTCCAACCCCCCTCCCAGAGCAGGTCCACCTAGAGCAGGTTGCACAGGAACTTGTCCAGGCAAGGCTTGAATGTCTCCAGAGAAGGAGACTCCACCACCTCCGTGGGCACCCTGTTCCAGTGCTCTGCCACCCTCAAGGTAAAGAATTTCCTCCTCATGTTTAGGTGGAATTTCTTGTATTCAAGTTTGTGCCCATTTCCACTTGTCCTGTCCCCGGGCACCACTGAAAAAAGACTGGTCCCATCCTCCTGACACCCTCCCTTTAAGTATTTAAAAGCATTGATCAGATAATATGTTTATTACTAATAACTATGTTTATTACTAATCTTTCACATCTAAAAACCCTGTAGAAGATAAGAAAAACGGGGTGTTTGTTGCTTTGGCAGCATGAAGGGTCAGGTGCAGAGGAGAGGAGCCATGCACAAGCCCCTCTGCCCCATCGGGCAGCAGCAAAACCCACCAGCCCTGGTACGTGGTACAAAGGCAGGCAGGTTTCTGCGCCTGCTCCTGCAGACGGCTCTGCAAACCCTCTTCTCACGTAGCAAGGAGTCTCTGTCCCTCCCAAAGGAGTCATAAAATACAGCTTTCTCCATCCTCATGCAGTAATCAGGCAGGCTTAAGAGCTTAGGCACTGTTTAAAAAGATTGTGCCGGCCTGTTTGCCTATCTCGGTCCATTTCTCTAATCAAACCAGCTCCTCGGCAAGGACTTGTAGGGGCACATTGTTAGTGATGGAGGCAGCAAATTGAACTTGCTAATAGAGAGGGAGTTGTTCAACTTGAGTCTTCTCGAGGCCATGCTCAGGGCAATTAGCAGCTGGCACAACGAGCCCGGCGCTGCTCCCCGCGCTCCGCTCCCTGGCCAGCTGCCGAGCCGTGGAGCATTGGGATCACGCACCAGGCAAAGAAGATGGGAGCAAACAGATTTCATCCTTTTAGACTGTTTTATTAAACAAAGCCGAGCAAAACAAAACCAGCCCCACCGTCAATACACCAGCTCCTTATTTACGCAAGACCCCTTTCCACAGCTCCGGGGGAACAAAAAAGGCTGAAGTGTAAATGAGATCAGTGTCGGGAGTGTTATGCGCATGAATATTTATCAAGGAAGACCAGACAGGGGCCAATTTGCCGCCCTCCCGCAGCAGCTGGAGCTCAGTCATCAACAAGTGGGAGGGAAAGGGCGGGTGAAGAGGCTGGTCCATGCCTTTGGATGGGCAGGGGCGTGCGGGATGCCAAGAACGACACCGAGAGGCTCCTGGCTTTTGGGACAAAAGCTGGGTACCACACAGCCATGAAGCAAGCATACGATGTCTCTTCCAGTCACGCAATCGGCTTGCAAGCTGCAGTTTAGCCAAAAAACTCTAAAGAATTAACTGGAAGTTGTTACCATTCCTTGGGCATGCCAAGTGCTCACGGTAAATCTTTTTTTCCTGAAGGAAAAAGCAAGGTTAAGTCAAACTACAAAGCCCATCAAGCACGAGATTTACAGCAATCTAAAAGGGTTACGGGTTCATTTCTTAAACAGTTGAATTATGGCTGCTTCTGGGTATCGATATATTAAGCACGCTGACCCCCTCAGCGCCGCGGGGAGTTAGGGGATGAGCAGCAACGGAGAGATCGCGCTGGTTATCGTTTTTATGTGCATTTCAAAGTCACTTCCAAAAAAGAAGACGAGATAGTAGTTGAGTATTCCAGCCACGGACATGAGGAACAGGAACAGAATGATGCGCTTTCCAAATAAGTAACCGGGAGTGCTGAGGAGACAGAAAGGGGAGAAAGCAATTCATTAACATACATCACCTCACGTGAAACATCCTCAGACTTCAGACTCTGCTGTTGAGACCAGCTGAAGGACCTCAGGGGCTGAGATGGAGGGGGCAAATTTCTTCTCTATCTTGCATTGCAAGGCAGCTGTGAGCTCTTAAATGCCATTTTCAGGATCCATTTTGGTCTGGATTTGGCCTCATGCGCTCAGCGTAGGCCGCTGCTTACAAAAGTGGCTATTCAGAGGGATTTGTATGTCTTCTCAGCCACCACAGGCTATGGGGCAACCTTGTTCCACATGTGTGTAAAGAGCTCTATTAATACAAAAGGACGATCTTGTGCAAACAGTGGCACTAACACAGAGACATGCGTATTTGCAGAAGCTGTGAGCAGGAGCTGCTGAAGCAGCCGCTCTGTTCCTGCAGCCCCCCTGACCCCAGTGCCACTGCCCCTCCTTCATCTCCCAAAGCTCCTCCTGTGCCCCCAGAATAGCAGGGCTTTCCTGCACCACCCCGTCCAAGCAGCCATGGCAGGCAGCTCCCTGAGCCGGCGGCTGTGCCCGTGGAAGTGGCAGCACCTGGCTGCGCTGCCGTGGCATCCCGGGTTTGGAGAAGAGGCTCTGCACGCCCTTACCTCTGAGTCCTTTCCCCGAGGTAGCCCACAAAGTACTTCTGCCTCACAAACAGGTACATCAGGCCGGCAAAGGCGGCAGGAGCTGAGTAAAGGGTAAAACGAGGCATTAGACACCAGCACAGGTCTCTCTGTACGTACCGTCCCCATCTGCTGCCCAGGCTGGACTGGGAAAGGGGAACCTGCAGTGTTGGGCTGTGGGATGAGCACTGGAAGCAGGATGGAGACCTTTGCACGGGAAAAAGAGCACCTGCCTTGCCCACACACCAGCTTTTCTAAAGAATTTATGGGTGTAATCCTGCCCGCAGCTGGGTTCGCTGCAGAAACCCAGAGCGGGTCATGCTGGGCTCGGGATGGAGGGTGCCAGCTCAGGCACTGCTTTCACCAGAAACAAAAGGCAGCTGATAGATGCACTTCTCTAGGAGAAAGAGGAGGACTGTACTATGGTCCAATACTCATTTCTGAGAACATTAGAAGGGACTTTTCTCCTTTCCCTCCTAATTATTGCTTTTTCCACAATTGCAGGCAGCATCCCTTCTCCTTTCTTCCAGAAAGAATAGCCACAGACCCCAGGAAAGTACTCATCTTAACTTGAGGAAAACTCAAATTGCATTAAAGGGGATCATCTTTAGAAACGCAGGTGAATAGTGGGCTGCCCTCAGCTCTGGAAAAGGCTGGCAGCTCTGGCAGTTTAATGAGCCCATTTCCAGTGCTGGGGTGAATAATGCAACATCCAGCATCCCAGTGCTAAACCCTCCACCCAAAACAGAGGTATCTCATCCGTAATGCTTATATGGGAAATGGTTGGAATCGTGTCTGGGGACACATTTTGGCTTAAGCTGTGCCAGGGAGTGTGCTGCTAATTAAACAGCATGGCAAGCTGCAGGACAGCTGGGTGAGACTGGTCCCCCCGCTGCGGGAGAATTTGGTCCCGGGAAGCGTAACCTCCAAAATGCTCAGCATCCCCTTGCTGAAAGGGGTGCAAGGTCGAAGAGGGGAAACAACTGGTGTGTTACCTTGGCTGCAGAGGAGGCCAGCACACCACAGCACGGCCAGAAATGTAGGGTACGTGTGTCCGCAGTTCTGGCTGGAAAGGAATTTGTCGGAGAGAGGTCAGAACACGGGGGAGACAGAAGCAAAATCAGCATGTTTCACCAGCAAAGGGTGGCGGGGGGTGAATTTGGGCTGCAGTAAATCCCGCTGCAGGTGGGTTTATACCCCCAGAGTGGTGGGAAGCCCCCGACCTGCCTGCAGCAGGCAGCTGCCCAGGGCTGGCTGGCGTGTCCGTGCCCGAACACGGTGGCAGCCTCACCCCCGGGTCTGCTTCCCTGTTTCCTCACTGGAATAAAAGATGCCTTTGTCCTGCCTGATGAGGAAAACAAACTGCCCCACGCACACGCCTGGCACCTGCGAAAGCCACTTTCCTCCTCCAACCTGTTTGATCACGGCACGTTTATAGAAGGTGCTGTGTGCTTCATTGGCCTGGAAAATCCTTGCAATTAAGTCATATTATTCAAGTCACTGGCATTGAAAGCTGCATGAAACCAACAAAAGGAGAATCGCGCCGCAGACAGGAGTGTCCCACAGAGTTAACATGTGTCTTTGCAGGGGAACAGAAGTGATTTCCAGCCTCCTCCATTGGCCGGGAATGTTTTCTGAGGGGGAAGCACTCTGTCCTTGGCAGAGGTTGCACACCTGTGAAGGGCAGCACTTGGACGTCCCATCCAGTTTCAAGCACAGCATCAGTACTTCATGGGTAATAAAAAATATTTTATGTTCTTTTCTCTTCTGGATTGGAATTAATTTTCCCCTCTGCTCATCTCTGAAGGGATGTCAAAGACAAGAGTAAGGATGTGGTGGAGAAGCAGAGAGCTGTGTGCCAAGGGAGCTGCCCGGGGACCAAGGGATTTGTAGGAGCTCTGCCACCGACCTGCTCCTCAGCATGTCAGTGTCTCTCCACTGACTCTTTCCTTTTGAGTTGCAGTGCCCCTGGGACCCTGGCTGTGCTCATATCACACTGCCAGCGTTAGCTACTGCTGGGTGAACGGGTTCCCAAATGAAGGGGAATAATACAATAAATTCAAGAGGAAATGGACACAAACTTTAATGTAAGAAGTTCCACCTAAACATGAGGAGAAACTTCTTTACTTTGAGGGTGGCAGAGCACTGGAACAGGCTGCTCAGAGAGGTGGTGGAGTGGTGGTGGAGTGGTGTCTCTGGAGACATTCAAAACCCACCTGGACAAGTTCCTGTGCAACCTGCTCTAGGTGGACCTGCTTTGGCAGGGGGCTTGGACTAGATGATCTCCAGAGGTCCCTTCCAACCCTATATCATTCTGTGATTCTATGAATAAGGTTGCCAGTTCAATACAAATACAGCACCCAGAAAGGAGCTGGGTTCACCAGCAAACATACTGGTGAATTGCAGGTCTAAATGTCACAGCAATGCATGCAGCAGTAGAACTGCAGAGCAAAACCTTCATCTGGGGGCATTTGGAACCCATCTCTGGACCCCAAAAGTGTTTGGATTAAACCCTAGCGAAGAGAGAGACAAACCCCACTCCGTCCCCACTGGCTCCTCAGGGCTTGTCTACTCACTTGGCAGTGTAGACGCGGTCAAAGGCGGAGGATCCTGGCCGCTGGAACCCCTTGCCATTGCAGTGTTTGCTTTCATGCTCCACTTTGTTAGCAAAAAAAGCTGTTAAAGAAACACAGAGTATTCGATCTGAGATGTAATTTGGAGATACTGCAGCGGCTGGGCTCAGGTCTGTTCTCATGAACTGTTCTCAGGCTGGATGGCAGGAGAGGACGCGGCTGCGTGGAGGTGCAGGATGTGGCCAGGGTGCTCGCTCTGTCACCATGGTATAACCAAACCCTCTGTGCAAGGGCACAGTGAGACGTGACCTCAGGCACCCCCATGGGTTCGTGTGTGACTGACAGCAAGCCCTCCCCTCTGAGCCCTCCTTCATGCCCCCACTGCACTTCTGGCAGCCCGCACCTCTGCCTGCTGCACAGCCCAGACTCCATCCCTTGTGCCCCCAGTGGGAAAAAAGCTTTCTAGAAAAAGCTGCCAAACCCAATTCTCACTCTCTAATAGAGCAAGGAGAGAAGGGAGTCTCTTCTCTTTCAGTGATACCCATTTGCCAAACCAAGGACATCCCACAGGGCTGCTTCGTTTTCAAGAAGGGCCCACTGAGAACTTGGTCCTGATGGCTGATCGCTATGTGTCCATATTGTGTGTATCTTCCTTTTAAGCAGCAGTGGTGTGTCAGCATGTTAGCTGCTGCCAAAATGCAGCACCTCAAGATAATGTGCCATGCACCTGACAAACACGTTTTATCTGACGACAGTAAACCCCAGGCCATCAATCATGTGTCTAAAGGCACCAGACAGAGCCCTCACAGGCTACAAGCTGCAAGCTTTGTATTGTCATGCATCCCATCCCAGTGCACACAAATCACCCCATGGTTTAGAATATTAGCCATATATATACATATAAAAGATATCCCATCAGGAAAAATATTATTATAACAATAGAAGTGTAAATTGATAAGCTGCAGGATTTAATCCCTAGAATCTGAAGAGTTACCTCCTTTTTCCCCTCACTGATGCTGTAATCAGGTCTTTTGGACTTCCGTTGCCTTCACTAAAAGCCACTGAGTGATTCTCTGGGTACACACAGCCTTTCTCCAGGAAAACCCACAGCACTTTAGGCCAGTGTCCCCACTCTGAGCCAGGCTGCAGACCCTCCCACTGTCACGGGGCACTGGTTGGCTCCTGGAGGACCTGGCCCTGGGGAACCCAGAACAGGCAGCATAGCCAACAAGAGCTCCAGGCATCTCCACCTGCATGCCACTCCAGCCTTTGGCATGGGACTATTCACCTGCCTCTGGTGTCTAAGAGGACCTAGCTGAAGAGGACTAGGCTGGATGGAAATATTTTGTACAGTACAAAAAGTACTCATAGTAGATGGAAAACCACTTCCTGCAGGGCTGGGACTGCATGGGCTCCGTGGGATACATAGTATACCTCCTCGCTTCCTTTTAGCATGTACGTGAAACCACTAGAAGATGCCACAGCTTCGGAGAAAGCCAAGAATAAACTATCTATATCTCCCTCTCTGCTGCTGCCGTCGCTTCCACTTCCCAAATGCTGATGTGTTGCTGCAGAGAGGCTCTGAAAGGCTGAGAGCCATCAGGCTGAACAGAAATGTGTCCAACGTGACAGTGGTCACAGTGGACAAGAACTTGGAGGTGCTTGTGGTGACACTCATGGTGCACAGTCTCTGGGACCAGGGCCGGCTAGTCATGGGTGTGCTGGGTCTCCTGGGAAGGATCTGGCTGAGGAGGTTCAGGCATTTGTCCTGGAATCTCTTGCTGTCTCAAACATGGTGTATGGATCCTTGGTCAACAAACTGGGCATTAGGGCAAAGGACAGATGTAGGGTTATCACGTACACTTGAGGGACAGGCTTTGTCCCATCTCACTTCAGAGACATTGAGAAGTGCTGGAAAGGTGGATATTTTCCTTCTGTAAACAGTGGGTGACAGAGGGAAACTGAGGAAAGACACCTCCAGAGGTCAATCCATACTTCCAAGAGCTAGTGGCATGAGAGAAACCACCCCACTGAAGGGCTGGTCTTTCTCCATTGACACAAGAGCTTAGACAACCACCTCACATGAGATGTCCATCTCTACAGAAAATGCCTCAGACGATCTACCCACTAACCCACTGCAGTGACTGTATTTCCTCAGGACCACATGGACCCCTAAGTTGAAGGCAGTCAATCAGAAGGGGACTCAGCATGTCACTGTCATATGGAGAGGTGGAGCCTTCTGCTTCAAGTGAGATTTTTCCCTGGGAAGTGGCTCCCCAGTTCTATGGTTCTTTAGCCCTGTCAACCCCACATGCCCTGTAGGCTCCCAAAATCTCTCCAGCAGACAGCCCAAGAGTTGAGTCTGAGGTACCTGAGGCTCAGTCAGGCTGAAAGTCTGCAAAGGACCAGAACAGAGCTGACAGATCCCATCCAGGGGTGGTCCTTGCCATAGGTCTGTGCTCACATCACGGCAGCATTGGGATCCTGTTAGCCTGGCACTGGGGAAATGGGAGGATACACCATGAAGCAGCTTGCAACACCATATTTCCTGCTCTTGACCCTGAACCTCAAGGCGAGAAAGTGGTTTCACAAGCTGGCATGAGGTGACTGAAAGGAGCAGGGCTAGAGCTGAGGGGTTTAATTAATCTCAGCTGCACCGGGAGGTGATTCCCTGAGACACCAGGGATGCACAGGCTGCCCTGAGCCTGAACTGTTGCAGGCCCACCCTGGCACAAGAGTTGAATCCAAGCCTGGTTGTTTCACAAGTTCATGCCAACAGAAACCATGTGCTGATACTCCAACCTGGCGAATGCTGGCAAACGTGCAGGTTACTCCTTCTTTCCATTGACTTTGCTTTGCTTTCTCCATCCCAATCTGCCCAGCAATGACCACTGATTTGCCCTGAAAGCTGCTGACTTGCAACATCTCTCATGCAAGAACAAAACCTAAAGCTACACGCGTGACTCAGCAGCATCCGGCCACATGAGTCATTCTGTAGGATATGGAGATTCCTGATACGAACAAGGTGACAGTAACTGGACAAGGTGACAACAAATGGATGTCAGACTGGGCCAGCACCACAGTCAACCTCCAGTTTTGGGAACAACAGCATTCACCTAAACTGTTTTCTAATCCTGCAGAAAAGCATATAAACCCTAATTTACATGGTACTAGCTTCATCACCTTCTTAAAGACAATCAAGGAGATGCCCAGGTGCTTTGCTGAACCTGAGCCACAGCAAGAGTCCAGTACAGCTGACATCCCTTGACGAGCATTTCTACTGCCTTGTGTACTGCATTCCTTGCAGGACTGCATATCTGTCTGATCTTCCTAGACAGAAAGCCTGGGAGGAGGAAATCAAATGACGCAAGGTCTGAAATGATGGCTTAGGGCTGTGTGCCACCACTGCTTGGCACGCAGAGCCCCTTGCCAAGCACCGTGCTGCCCGTCTGCAGTGGTTGGGTCAATAATCTCACAGACAGATTGCCATGAGATAAAAGCATGTGTCAGGCTGGAAAGCAAATGATCGAGTTTCGTAGTGAGAGGAAAAAAACCTGTGTCTAAAGTCATCTGGTTAAATAGCAAGAAATGTATACCTGGCATATTTTTTTCAATTGCAGTAGGGGCTCTGATCTCAACGTGCCCTATTCCAGTGACACCACACACTAAGCATTTACCCGAAAAGAGGGCTGTATTAAATGGTGTGGCATTTGGTGCCTATGTCAAAACTAAACCCTTCTGCACCTCTTTTTTTTTTTTTTTCACTCTCTGGCAGCCAAGTTTATGCTGAGGCTTCCACCACTTCCCCTTTCTGCAGCAGCCCAAGAACAGCCCACTTCCTAGGACGCGACGTGGGGTTCGTGCTCAGTGGGAGTCTCCCATTCATACCAAGAAGCCTTCACAGAAATTTTCCAGCACTTGCGTCAAGCCCCCCCATCCCACTGCTGACTCTCCGTGAACCTGGGCAATCTCAGGGCAGCTGGGGCAAACCTCACTGCCTTCTCTGTATTCTGGGCAGAATTTCCTGGTAAAATGGTTAAATATGTATAAGTGATGATGGTCAAGTCCAAATCAGGTTTGCACAAGAGAGAAACTTGTTGGTTTATTTAAAGAAATGCTGAAGAATAGCAGGGACTAACTACAGAGGTCTGAATAAGAGCCAAAAAAAGGAAACTTCTCCATTGCAGGAAATGGGCAGTGTTCTTGGGACTGCAGCTGAGGTTGGTTGGACTGTAGGACCTGGAGATGCAGGAAAGCAGGAGAGCTGCTGCCCGCAAATAACCTGGACAGACTCCTCCGATGAGTCGGAGCAGTTTTGCCCCCTTCGCCCAGCTCCCTGCAAAGGTCTGACCCATCGCAGCCCCCTGGAGCCCCAGCCCCTGCCCATGGCTGGAGAGCAGCCCCGGCTGCCCACATTAAGGACTTTAGCCAGGAAAGGAGGTCTCAGTCCTCAAATCGAAATCCATCTTGTCACAGGGTGGGTACCTCAGCTTATGAGTCCTTTCATTAGCTGACATAGAATATCAGAGAATATCATAGAATAGCTCACTCCAGGATATCTGAGTAGGACCATGCGACTGCCAAGACACTGCAACATGGGCAGGCAAAATGTTATGCTTAGAAGATAATTTCTAAAGCCAAAGTCACACCTAAGCACGCACACACTTATATACAAAGATTATCTATCCAAAGATCAGATCAGCATACATCATCCTGAACTTTTCTCAGCTCCCATTAAGCCCTTAAATAAATGCTTATTTTTCTCTTACCGTTCTGGACAACACTTATCAAGGTGACGATGGCGAGCAGGACGACACTTCCAAGGGTTTCCTGGTCCATTTTGTGAGTGGGTTCTCAGGGTGGACGGTGCAGCCTCGGAGGCAGCTTAGCCCTGCAAGCACAGAAGGAGGAAGTGGAGGTCTCTCTTATCTTGAATCACGAAAACATTTCCTATGGCTTCACAGGAGAGTGGCAGCGCCCTGCACTAGGGTGGCTGTCACAGCAACACAACCACAGGCTTGCTCACGCACTCAGCGTGTGCAGATGAAGCCCAGAGAAACAAGAGAATGCATGTCTGTGATCTAGGAGGATATATAATGTGGAAAGATATCTGTTGCCTCTCCTGCACAGGAGCAAAATAGCGACCTCGGTATCTGAAGTTCATCTGAGCATTTGGCTAGCTGTGTGGAACAGCGGAAGGTGGCTGGGAGGGGAAATAATGTTGGCAAGTCTCAATAATACTGCTGCTCCCAGGCGTGTGAACTCCTTGGTCACATCTCCATCAGCCTCAGCAGTGAGGAGACCACCAGGAAAAGCTCCTGATCCATTGGGCATATTTGAACGGGCAGCACACAAATGCTGTGAGCGCCGCTGGCGGGCACAGAAATATGTTTTTTCTTACCAGGGATGGATCCTGCATCCTTCCCCCTACAAATAACTCCCTGGAAGATAATGACAGCTGCCAGCATTCAGCATTTTACAGGCTCGGACTTCACAGTCGTACCCCAATTTTAGCAGTTGAAGCCCAATACAGCTTAACATAATTGCCGCAGCATGTTCACCCCTTGGCTTTGACCCCGTGATGGAGACAGCAGGGAAGCACAGGCTGCAGTGTTGGACCCACAGCCTCTGTCAGATCACTGGAAAGCATCCTTATCCAACGTGCACATCATTTCCTGGCTGTAACTGCTCTGCACCCTCGTGCCCGAATTCTGATGGGGAAAAGCCTTATGAAAAATCCTTACCTTCAGCAGGGATTTAACACTAATAAAAGTAACATCTTCATCAGACTGAGCCCTGAACAACTTCTACCCCATCTCTCTCTCCGTCTATACTCGACCACATGCTATCCAGAAGGTCTGCGTGCCACCCAGCATCCAAACCACAGCCGAATAGCTGGTTTCCTCTCTCTGGATGGGACACAGCCTGGCAGGAGTTCCCAGCAGGTGCCAAGCTGTCAAATCCATCTTGTTCAATGAGGACACACTTACCTACAACGGTGTTTTTATCCAGTCTCTCTATCATGCAAATTATTATTATCTGTACTATAAGTTATGGAAAACTCTCAGGTACTTTGGGTACAAGCAAATCATAGAATCATAGAACGGTTTGGGTTGGAAGGGACCTCAAAGATCATCGAGTTCCAACCCCCCTGCCATGGGCAGGGACACCTCCCACTAGAGCAGGTTGCTCAAGGCCCCATCCAGCCTGGCCTTGAACACTTCCAGGGATGGGGCATCCACAACTTCCCTGGGCAACCTGTTCCAGTGTCTCACCACCTCATAGTAAAAAATTTCTTCCTGAAAATATATAGAAACATGCTGTGTGAGAGGCAGGTGATCAACATTGTGAGTTGTGACCTTTTGTTAACCTAATAGCAGGCTGTCTTTCAAGAATACATACCCGGTAGTCCACACAGACACAAATGTGTGGGCAGCAAGGCCACAATTAATACCTAGGTGGAGACCAGGCCTTTTATAAGCCAAATGCTTTTATTAGGACTGAAGTTCTCCTTTTCCCCACAAAATGGCCTTTTCTTACTAGAACATCAAAGTTTGTGTTTTGTGGTCTACTGAGCACGGGATCATAGCTGGCATTTAAGGATGGTATTTAATGCTAAGCTTCTACTAATCTCCTGAAGAGGAAAACCCATCACCTAAATGCAGTTATGGAGTTACGTCAAAAGAAGAATATTGTCCAAGCAGAGACCAGTGCTGCGACTGTGAAGAAAGGACCTATGCATGGACATGGGCAGGAGGGAGCTGCTGAGAGGATAGGGGGAAGGAGACAACACAGGTCCTCAGGGCATCTGGAGCTGGATGAGTCCCAGTTGTCCTCCCACAACAGACACTGATCCTTCCATTTCTTCTGCCCGTTTTACACCAGTGTAAACCTACCAGGCAGCTTGCAGCTTGGTTTTGGTTTACAAGGAGCAGTAAAAGCAGAGCAGACCACCCTGAGACAGTATAAGCCTCCACCTTGCCATGAAAGTGCATGCTCTTCCCTACTTTCAAAGGCTTCCAAAGGTGGCTTCAATTTGGCAGGAGTCTCACATTAAAGGCGGCAGGAATCAGGCTGCTAAGGTTGGAAATTGCCATAAGGCACAAAGCAATGCAGGCTCTCCTGCCTCTTGGCACCTCTCCCCACATCCTCACCCCCGCTCTGCTCCTCTGCTCTGCCCCTGTCCCCTGTCCCCTGTCCCCTGTCCCCTGTCCCCCGCCACCGCTCCGCACCACAGGACCTGCCGGTGGCACCCGTGCTTTACTGGAAACCCAGCCCCTTACTTCCTCCTGCTGAGGCTCGCTCCAAAGTCACCCCCAACATCTGTGTGGAGGAAAGCGGGCCTCCCCTGTCCTCTGTCCCCTGTCCCCCGCCACCGCTCCGCACCACAGGACCTGCCGGTGGCACCCGTGCTTTACTGGAAACCCAGCCCCTTACTTCCTCCTGCTGAGGCTCGCTCCAAAGTCACCCCCAACATCTGTGTGGAGGAAAGCGGGCCTTCACCCTCCTCCCTGCAAAAAATCCCCAACCCTGACACCAACTCCAGGGGCTTGCTCAGCTGATTTCTGGGTGTGCGGGGAGAAGAAAGCTTTGCCAGCAAAAATCTGTTTGGTATGGCTGCCTTAAAACAAGAATTGCAGGGGGTTTTTGTGTTTTGTTTTGTTGTGGGGGTTTTTTTAAGTGCAATATCACTCCGGGGGTTCTGTTTAAGAAAAAGCAGAGGAAATCAAGGGGGCACGAGAGACACTGAAGGAAAAGTCTCTTCCCTGTATCTGGCAGAGCAACACAGTTGTAAATACAGTTGAAGAGAGCAGAAACCCCTCGGAGGGGGGAATGTCATCTTTTTGTACCCCTTGGAGCTGGAAGAGCTGCAGCATGAAACCAGCCTCTGGCAAATATTTTTTGCAATTTGGGGAATTGCCTTGGCAAGGGAGGGCTAAGCTGGAGCCAAAATGACTCTGCAAACAGCTTCTGACATATCTAGAGGTTCATTTGTTCCCACTCCCTGCAAACCTAAACATCTGGGGGGCTCTTTCCCCCCCTTCTTTTGCAGGATACACACAGGATGGCTGTCAGGATCAGGCAAAGTTGGCACCGCTTGAGAACACTGACCACCTGGGAGAAAGACTGGTGTGAAACACCTCCGTTGTATTCCACTTGGCCATTTGAAATAGGGGATTTTCTCAAGTAGATAAAAAGAAAAAAAGGGAGGAGGGATGGACACCTTGGGGCGCGGTGCCTGCATCCACCGTAACCCCCCAGCTGCTCTCCAGGCACGGGTAATTCTGTGCTTCAGCAGCTGCTGTCAGACCCCAGCCCTTCTGCTTGCTGCGTGGCGATTTGACGTCCACATCTCCCTGTCTGCGGCAGATAACCTTGACACGGTGAGCCAGGAAGCTCATGAAAATGTGCAAAGCCAGCGAGCTTTTCCAGCGGCGCTGCGAGGCTTCCCGCACATTAATCTCCTCCTCTGGAAATCTTGGGCAGCCAGTCAAAATAATCCTTTCAGAGAATTGCTTTCACGCTGGAGAGGAAAGGACTGGGAACACACATCTATAAATATCTTTCGGGATGTTCATCTCTCTGCTCAGTGCTCGGCTGCAAGGACTCCAATGAAAGTGTGTGTCCTAATAAAATAGAAGCTGTTTCCGTGAAATTCCTATATATAGATGTCAGACCACACACAGCCATCATGCTTCATCAGAAACACAATGGGGCAAAAGCCCCCTGGACTGGTTGGTTAATATTAGCACTGGGCTTTGTACACTTAAAGCGCCGCAGAACCACCAGATATGTAGTAGGTGTGACTACCTGCTGCCATGTCGCCTGCTTCAGCATCCCATCCTTTCTGGAGCCTGACAAAACCCCAAATCTCCAGCGTGAATGGAGCTGGAAACGAGAAGCACCACATGAAGAAAAGGGCAACGCTGCAGTTTTTAAGTGCTGTCTTCATTTTGCATGGCCAAGAGAAAGACACCGTGGGAGCTGTCAGAGTGCCGCCTCGAAAACCTCTCCACCTCCAAACTTCCCAGACTTCATCCTTTCCATTACTGTCTCCATCCTCCATTTGTCCAAACTCAGCTCAAAACACAGCGCTTGAAGATAAAGCCCGTAGTCCCTCCACCCCCTGCTCCAGGGTGCAGCCTCCTCCTCACCCTCCTTGTCTCACCCATTGCTCTCCTGAGTAAAATTTCCAAATTTCCCTTTTTCTATGAGGGCCATGTTCTGCTGATGTCCCCATGGCTGCACTTCACCCTCGGGTCCATTTCTGCAGCGCTCCCTCCTCACCGGCGAGCACTGACTGTGCCAGGGCTCCCCTTCCCCACAGCCTTGTTTGGGTTTATTTTTATTAAATTCCTGAGGGTTGAGCCCAGAGCGTTGCTGCAGTGTGCCAAGACCAGTTTGAACCCCAGCCCCTCCACCAGGATGCAGGAAGCCCACCTCTGACCTGGGCACATCAGCAGATCCGGTATTCTCTCTGCCATCAGGAGACAGGAGAATTGAGCAGGGCCCAGGACAGCCCCTTCTGAGGACTTTTTGGTAAAGCGCCCTGATTTCCCAGGGAACTAATGATTAATAGGGTTTGAGTGGTGTCCAGTGAGTGGCAGAGCCACCTCGTGGGGATTTCCTCTCTCTTGTCTCTCCCTCATCTCTCCCTCCCTTCCTCCCAGGAAGCAGCATCTCAGCAGTCATTGGGATACCATGTGGTGTCACCGTGGTGGCGCCCCGACAGCCCCAGCAACCAGCCACCTGTCACAGGAGGAAGTTCACAGAATCTCAGAATAGCTGAGGATGGAAGGCACATCTGGAGGTCATCTGGTCCAAGCTCCCTGCTCAAGCAGGGCCACCTAGATCCAGTTGCCTAGGACCATGTCCAGAGGGCTTTTGAACTAATCCAAGGATGGAGACTCCACAACCCCCCTGGGTGGCCTGTGCCAGTGCTTGGTCACCCTCACAGTGAAAAAGCCTTTCCTGATGTTCAAGGTGAACCTCCTGTGCTTCAGTTTGTGCCCGTTGCCTCTGGTCCTGTCATTGGGCACCACTGAAGACAGCCTGGCTCTGTCCTCTTTGCACCTTCCCTCCAGATATTTATACACACTGATGAGATCCTCCTGAGCCTTCTCTTCTCC